GCAGCGGCAGCGGCCAGGCAGCCCAGCTCCGCGAAGGCTCTCGGCGCGCCGCGGCCCGCAGGCACCCGGCACGCGCCCTCCGCGCCGCCAGGATGCCCAAGAGGAAGGTCAGCTCTGCCGAGGGGGCGGCCAAGGAGGAGCCCAAGAGGAGGTCGGCGCGCTTGTCGGGGAAGCCGGCCCCCGGGAAGGTGGAAGCGAAGCCCAAGAAGGCCGCCGTGAAGGATAAGTCATCAGACAAGAAAGTGCAAGCAAAGGGGAAGAGAGGAGCAAAGGGAAAACAGGCCGAGGTGGCTAACCAAGAAGCTAAAGAAGACCTGCCTGCAGAAAACGGAGAAACGAAAAACGAGGAGAGTCCAGCCTCTGATGAAGCAGAAGAGAAAGAAGCCAAGTCCGATTAATACCATATACCATGTGTTATCAGTGGTCCCTGTCTCCCTTCTTGTACAATCCAGAGGAATATTTTTATCAACTATTTTGTAAATGCAAGTTTTTAAGTAGCTCTAGAAACATTTTTAAGAAGGAGGGAAGCCCACCTCATCCCATTTTTTAAGTGTAAATGATTTTTTTAAGAGGTGAAATCATTTGCTGGTTGTTTATTTTTTGGTACAACCAGAAAATAGTGGCATATTGAATTCTGGGAGGCTTTGACTGTCTTGGGTGTCAGCTTAACATTCCATAGGTGGGGGTGGTTTTTATATCCTACAGTACAGCGCATACTTAATGGCGATTTGGAGTCTCAATTGTGCATTTAATCTGTCTTGAATATTTTCAGTTACTTCTCCCGTGTTTTGTAGAATTGTTTTCTACAGAAAACCACTCCTTGTTCTGTCAGAACCATGTGCACTCTGTAACATCTTCGGTTGTGGTAGTCCAGTTTTCCTAATGATTTTGTTAATGTGCCGTGAAAGATTGAAAATTTGAGTGTCGTGCATATGCTATTATATTGTGAATGGGTGGGATTTATGTAACAGCAGCATTTGAAGATACTTGTACTTGATAGCCTCTTAAGGAAGAGTTGCCTCCAAATTTGAAGCTGGAAAGTCACTGGAATAACTTTAAAAAAAATGACAATTCATGGCTTTTTAGATTTTTGGTACGTATGTTAAGAATTGTGTACAAATTAAAATGTGTGTGCTGATTCTCAACACCAATAAAATCTCAATTATGGACAAAAAAATTGCTATCTTACCGTTCTTAATGTTTCAAAATAAATCCTGATCACACATGTTGTAAGAAGTTATTCTGAATTTATTTTGGTGCAAAAAAAATTAAATCCATGGGGCCGGCACTGTGGCGCAGCGAGTTAATGCCCTGGCCTGAAGCGCCGGCATCCCATATGTGTGCGGGTTCTAGTCCCGGCTGCTCCACTTCCGATCCAGCTCTCTGTATGGCCTGGGAAAGCAGTGGAGGATGGCCCAAGTCCTTGGGCCCCTGCACCCGCATGGGAGACCTGGAAGAGGATCCTGGCTCCTGGCTTTGGATTGGTGCAGCTCTGGCCATTGTGGCCAACTGGAGAATGAACCATCAGATGAAACACCTCTCTCTTTCTCTCTCTCTCTCTCTCCTCTCTCTGTGTAACTCTGACTTTCAAATAAATAAATAAAAAATGTAAATCCATGCATAGTTCATTTATAAATAAACATATATGATATATAATCATTTTTATATTTATTTATATTATAATATATATAAGAGACTTTTTGCATGAATGTTTTTGAAGATATCTTGTTGGACAAATAGACCTTGCTTCAATATGGCAGGGTAAAAATCACTGAGAGCATTCTTTAATCCAGTTAATTCTCCATTATAGCCTAAAAGAAAAGAAACAAACAGGAACTGAGCTAAGAATCAGTATCTGCAGTGATGTCTTTTTCTGAAGGCGTGAGGAAGAGAAACCAAGTACAGCTGCCTCTTCACCTTGTGGGGGTTTTCTGTAGGGAGGGATAATATAAATTCCTTCTTCCTTCATACATTTCACAGAATACTCTAAAAGAAGGTGTCACGAGTCTTGATATGGTCATTAATTCTATTGTGAAAACAACACTGAACTTTCTCTTACCCATAGGAGCCCTGTCAGTAAACTACAGACAACAGTTGAGAAGCCCTTGGGATCAGAGAGAAGGGCTACAGTTGACTACAGTTCTCTGAGTGGAAGTAGCATCTGAAATTTGGGACTTTCCTAGAGGTCAGAAGTCAGACAGGTTGTGATTTTTCAAATGTCCATAGTGTGAGAGCAATACTTCCAACAAATCGTAATCCTGAATCAGAGGAAATTTTGACAGCTGTTTTCAGTCCTTCTGTTTTTTAAAGATTTATTTATTTATTTGAAAGTCAGAGTACACACAGAGAGAGAAGAAGAGACAGAGATTGACCTTCCATCTGCTGGTTTACTCTCCAATTGGCTGCAACAGCTGGAGCTGTGCAGATGAAACCAGGAGCCAGGAGCTTCTTCTGAGTCTCCCATGTGGGTGCAGGGGCCCAAGGACTTGGGCCATCTTCTACTGCTCTTCCAGGCCATAGCAGAGAGCTAGACCAGAAGTGGAGCAGCCCAGACACCAATTGTTGCCCATATGGGAAGCTGGCACTGCAGCCGCAGCATTACCCACTACGCCCCCTCTGCTTTTTTTATTGAGTAAATGGAGGAAACTATCCTAAGGTATATTTTTCTTGCAATGTTTTGCCTGCTGAAAATTGTGAAGTCAATTTTGATATAAGATATTTGGATTGAATTGTATCAGCATCTTCTAAAAGAAGTACCTCAAAGGAAAGTAGCCCAGTTAATATATGAACAGGAATGTGTAATTAATGATGAGTAAAGTAAAGAGATGGAATATAAAATTTTAATAAGAAAAATGTCTGAAATGATTTTAAAGCAGTAAATCACATGGAAAGAAAAAAAACCCAACAATTTGAGATACATATGGAATCAATCCAGACAGTAGATCTGAATACGTTGCAGGAATTGGTAGCAGAATGACCCTAATCATCTGCTGATGAAAAGAAAACAACAGTGGTTTTCAAAGATAAAATGTGACAAATTATGCAAATAAAAAGCCAGAAAGTAAATACTGAGAAAAGACTTACATAAGTGTGTTTTTAAATACCAAGAAGCATACTTTTCAAGGTAACGCAATGAGCTCCGGTGCAGCCATCTTTGTAGAAGCGGGTACTAGAGCTAGCTCTTGAAAAGCAGTCCTGTGGGACTCTAAAATTTGGATATAAACTTTGAAAGACTTCTCAAACTTCCTTTAGTTTTCCTCCAAAGAACTCTTGGAGATGGTTGAGAAAATTTGATTCTGGTAAAGGGGAAAAAAAAAAAAAAACCTACAGATACTGAGAAAGCCTTTGGGAAAACATGCAGAAAAAAATGTATGCATTATAATCACGCAGATAGAAATTTGGGGATCAGATTTCCGGGATTCTGGTCTTATGGCCATCATTACTTGCTGGGTAAACTTACACAAACCTATTTACCTCTGTGAGTTCCAGGTTTAGCTTTGTGTTGTTTTGTCTCTATAAAATGAGGGGAGCTGAGCATGACACTCTCTGTTGTCATTGTTCTATGTTATGCACAAGATTACGATTTTAAGATCATACTTTTCACATAAATCTTTGATAAAACACGGAGGAATTGCAAAGAGTTTGCTAAAAGCTTTGTATACATATATGAAGGATGTGTGCTTGTATATGTGTGAGTATAAAAGAATGCTGGAAAATTAAGGTGAAGGGTCATATTTCCTTATTGTACTTTTAGAATGTTGAAACAAAATGCATTCATTTAGGAAACAAGTCTGCCAATGACTAAATGGTTACAAAACATGTAAAATCATGAGTTTTTTCCACTTAACAGCTTTTGGGGTATCATATTATTTTTGAAAGATGCTTAAAAGTATTAAAATATCTGTCCAGAGGAATAGCTCATCTGGAAAAAGGAAGAAAATGATTCCACGCTAGCTTTGGCCAAGCAGCTAAAATTTTAATGTACTATTTATACTGGTCATTACAACTGTTAACATGATGCTTTTTTCTTCAGAGTGTATGTTCCCTAAGGAAGGTTAAACTATTAACCTAAAAGAGCATGCTTAAGACTTGAGCAAAAACGTTTAGGAATAATTATTGAATTCTTGAAGTCAATGAGTTTTCAAATGGAGAAAAGGTAGCAAAGAGATCAGAGGCATGATCCTGGGCATAACTGCCTTTGGGTATGTGAAGGCATGGTAATGTGAAAGAAAAGTTTGAAAGATCTAAATCTATGAAAGCAGAAGGACTTCCAAGAGAGAACTACCAAACTACCAAGAGGATTGAACAGAGCCAAAAGGAAGTCATCCAAGTATTTTCACGGGAATATTTTCTTGCATCCAAACCACCTTGGTTTACTTTACTAGTGCAAAGGTAAAGAGGCTGTAGGAGGTTGCTTGACTTTCTATCACATTCTCTCTAAACCATCCCTACTGCTTTCTGCTTTGTCTTCAGAAACCCATGTAACTGACTTCAAAATCTGTCAATTTTAAGCAAAGTGGCAGCAGCAGAAATAGAGAAGAGAATTCATGCAAAAGCTCCATGACACCTCTATCTACAAGCAACAGCACCAGAACAGAGGTCACAAATCAGAGCTAGATCACTGATGGACACTCTGTGAATTAAATTTCTTGGAACATCAGAAGTTGAACTGCCTTTACTTTTCTGCCCCCCTCCCTTTTTTGTAGCTTAGCCAAAGAATCTCCTTGTCTCATTGTTTCTCTTTCTCTCCCTTTCTCTTACTTTTCCCTAATCCCTCCATCCTGTTCATGCTTATCAAGAAATGCTTTTTCCTTTCCATGACAGAGTCGTGGATATTCTTCAGTCTTCTGGCTGCCTGGTGTGAGTCATCACGATTAATTAAAACTCCTACATAAAGAAAAGTCTTAAACATTTTTACCTACCTCAAAGAATTATCTAAAATGTTGAAAATTTCAGGAATTAAGCAAATGTTTTAACATAACACAATTCACATTTAAGCTTTATTGATTTTTTAATAACCACAAGTCTCGTCTGTAAGGCAGAGTGTACCAGATGGTTCTTCGCTGGCACAAATTGTTCTCTATGTTCATAACGAGTTTCAGTAAGTGTCTTTGATTGACAGCAACCAGTTGTGTTACAAAACATTGTGGCATCAGGTCAATCATGATGAAACTTGATAATGCCACATCAATAATGTGACATTTTATGCTGTAGTTTGCAACAAATCGCTAGGAGAGGAAAAAGTGATACTTAGTAATGGATGAATATTCTAAGCAAATGTTAGCACATCCTACAGTGGCCTTTGTTGGTGTTCAAGGCCATTGGCATGATACCAATGGCCCTCAGATTGCCTAAATCCTCTCAAATTAAGAAGTAAATACAACCCCTGTTGTAGGACATAATATGTCTTAGTGTTTTCATAAAAACCATTGCACTGTACTGTATAATTTATCTAACTTCATTTCAAATCATTAAACATATTGGATATATATTTCCAGAGTATATACAATTCCCAAAGTACTATATCCTAAACCACAATTATAGAATTAACAGAGTTGGAAAAATTAGTTAATCTTCTGCCAAAAAGATTGTTCAAATAAGTAAATCAAAAATAAAGTAGACACATCATTCCTATTGCATTAAATAAAGCCTCTGTGTTTTACTCTCTTTATCGATGATGGTCATGCCAGCATGAGCATGATAATTGCTGAAAGCTTAGCTTAGCTATGGGAAATTCAAGCAGAAAAACATGTTGTAAAGAATTTAGAATGATGTAGGGACTGTCTGGCTTGCAGAAACCTTGACTGAGAAGAAGTGAGATGTGTGATAGAGAGACTCCGATGAAGTTGTGGCAGCCTCATAGTAAAAATCCTAGAATTACTTACTGGTGAATTTGACTCATTCTTTAATTTGTGTGATACAAATGATCTTACCCATTTACTCATTAAAATATATTTAATTTTATATTTCTTATTGGTATGCTTTGAGATGGATCTGTTTGAGGGATGGGACATTGTGCTGAGAGCTGTTTTGAGTTGAGTGACAGAACTGAACCTCAGTGGAAGCTTGTTTCTTTGTGAGACAAGTTGACTTGCTGTTCTCTAAATACTTTGACAGATTCTTTGCTTAACAAATTTTAGTGAAATTCTTGAGCCTTCTAGCCTCCTCTGTGTCCTTCTTTGTAATATCTAGTTTTAACAAGAACTCTGCTGACAGTTTAGAAATAACCCACCACCCTTGATATTTCATTAGGTTTCGTATCTTCCACCATCTCCTTGTCATCTCCTGCTCACGCTACCAATCATAATCAAGAATCCCATTGGTTCAGTTTACTAGAATGTCCCCAGACCTCTGATGCTTTCTTCAGTAAAGGCTCCATCCACTGACCACCCCGACTCTCAGCTTCTTTGTTGTAATTTCTTACTTGCTCATGCTGCATTTGTAGTTGAGCTAGTTGGGGCTCAGAACATGATGCCCCAAAGTATGGTGCTTTGGTGTGCTGGAGGCTTTCAACTGAAGATTATTGGGAGGGCCTCAGAAGTGAGGTCTTTCTGACTTTTTCCCACCTTCCTATCTTCTGCTCCTCCATCTCCCCCAAGCAGATCTTTGAAACCAGAACTGTTCTTCCCCAAGAAAAGTCATAAAACTAAAATGCCTCCCCCCAAAACAAACCATAAAACTCAGAAATCATTTTATTCTCCTCCCCTTATCCTTGAAACCCTCATTCCAGTGGTTCCTGTTTCATACCCAGAAGGAGGGTTGCTACTGGGGGAGGGCAAGAAAATCTCTACAGACAGGCCTTGCTGGGTTTCCCCCCTCAGTCTATTACCATTTTGTCAAACCTCTTTGTCCAATCATGTATTTACACAGCTGCCCATTCTCCATTGAACTTAAGTATAAAAATAGTCATTTTTCCTTGAGTCTGTGGGTCTTTGATTCTGAAGCTTCCTATGTTATGTGAAGCTTTGATTAGACAAAGTAGTTACAGTTTTTTTTGTCAATCTGTCCTTTGTTTTAAGGGTATTGGTGACTGCCCTAATGATGGGTGAGCAAAGGAATTACACCTGTTTGCCTCTACTTGCAATTTTTCTCCTCTCAGGCAAAATCTCATTGTTGATATCCCCATACCTAGTGATCTTTCCTGTCAGAACAGGTGTCACTGAACACTTTTTCTTTAATAAGCTAGTCTTCTGCTTTTGTGACTTGGAACTGCCTCTTTTCTTCCCATGAACTAAATCAATGTCTCTTAAATTTCATAGCAAATGCTACTTTCTTGGTGAACTTTGTTCTAATTTTCTAACTGGATTTGAGCCTGTCTTCTTTAAGCTATACATAGAATTTTTAAAATATGTCTTTGATTGCATGTAAAATAATCTGTCTTATATTCTACCTGATATGGTATTTAGATTAAAGTAGGGAATTGTGCGCTATTTCTTTATATGGCCACTGAGGTAGATAACTCCGTATTTGACAAATGCTATTTGAAATACATTTTATAATAGTGTTAGATTATTAATAAGAACTACTAAACCTAACTACCTCTTTTTTATGCTGCACTAAATTTAAATATTTAAGAAAAATATTTAAATTTAATGTATTTACCTTAAATATTTAAAATTTATTTTTGAAGTCATTTTAATTTAAATGCTTAATTTGTCTGTATTCTAATACTTCCTTGTGAAATAAATTTATTTTAAGAATCCTTTCCAACTGTACTAAGAAAGCAGATATTTCTTCAAAAAAGAACATACTCTGTAGCTGTCATTTGCTATCTTTTAGAGACAGGATGAAGTGAAATTCTCTGAAATCCTTGTATTAGAAGGCAGTATTTACTATTTATCAGGCAGTATTTGTGGCTATATTCTATAGAGATCATTGTTGCATACAGATAGTTCTTTTTCAACAAGTGATTAAAGAAGTGCATTCACAATGTATATTTTCTTGGGAAATAATTTTTTTAGAATAAGTGATTTTCATGTTTTATTTTTTTTTTCAGTATCATTTTTCCCATTTAGTTCCTTCCTTAAGAAACACCAAGGGACTACACCAAACTTACCTCCAAATCATTTATTTTGTAGTTCACTGTCCTGACAGGCACCAAAAATGTGTCTGACATGTTGTCCTAAATATTATATAGTTCATATTTTGTTTAGGCAACAACACAAAATAATATTGATTGATTAGAACCACGAAAGCCCTTGAATTCCTCTTTCTCAAAGTTAATTTTTTTATTTCCATGTGAAACTCTGTTTTTACATGAAATTTTTACTTACAAGAATCAGCAAAATAACAATAGGTAAAATACCATATGATGTAGATCAGGGCGTGAAAGCTTGCATATTTCAGTTCAGGCTATTTGCTGAGAAGGTAATAAAAAGCAGCAGCCTTGGCAAAGATCATTTAAATTAAAAATGTGTGGAATCCTCTGCTTTTGCATAAATAGGAAGACCTCTTTTCTACATGAAAACACAATTATTACTCATCTTGATTGTCATGGCCCTTCCTATTTTCTTTCCTAGTAGTTGAGGATATTTTGATTTTCTATAAACAGAAATCAAAGTAATATGAGAAAATGGAAATGCTGCACTGAAGATGTGGATTTCTTTGCTCAATACATTAAATTCACAGTCAGTTCTAATGTACACACAGGTATTTCATCTCAAACACAACATGACAAATATCAAAGTAAGAACACAATATTCAATTTATTGAAAGTCTCTCCCTTTTATAAGACTTCTTAGATAATTTGGCCTTCAGAATTCCCTATTTCATAGTACCCAGCCAAAAATGTAATAGTCATTCATTGAATACTTTTTTACTGAGCAAGCACTGATAACTTTGTATATGTCAGATAATGTTCTAAGAACAAAATAAGTAACACTCCAACTATCAAGATGTTTAGAGTTTAGAGAGAAGGAAGAAGAAAACTAATAAAATAAAATAAAATATTTAGTAAGATAGCATGTAGTAGATGAATCTTTCTGCCTATTTCCAATACAAACTTTTGTTAAAACAGGAAAAGAACTGTTGATGAAAACATGGGTGATCAAGGAGCACTGGATATTGAAGTGAGTCCACATCTGAAAGAAGGAAATCATGTTGTATTCAAGCTAGATTTATATTATTTATCTCTAGAGATTCTCATTGGTCCACATAGTCTAAGAAAGATAAACTTAAAAGATGACAGTGTTACTGGTCTGAAGAAACATGTTAACATTTTTCAGCTACTGGAGTATCTAGAAATCCAGGGCAGAAGATCTAGAAAGGAGGCCACACAGAGAGGAGCACCCTAGTTTTTCATATATGTTTTCTTCTGTGTTAAACTATGTGTGTGAAAAGAAAATCACAGGAGCACAGGAAGATGAGAAGAACCAAAAGGCTGAAAGAGCTTAGCAGAGATATCATTGCTTTCTGCTCATGGCAAAAGAGGTAGTTAAGATGTCAACATGTTAGCAGATCATCGTAAAACCTCATACTTTTTTATTAAAAACTCCAGAAGAACAAGGCTATGGAGTAAGACATACGTTCTAGAACTAATATATTTACCATAGGCCTAAAGACAAAACTGAAGTAAATTCAGCTAAGGAAAGCCAAAAAGTAAAGCTTCAAAAGCATAAGGTGATCTATGCATAACATAAATTACTTGAGAAAACTAGGTAATTGGTAGCATTTACAATAAATCATCCATAATTTCTATTCTATAAATAGGAATTATTTTAATGAAGAAATATAAAAAAAAACTTTCCTATTATCAAGAGAAATGTGTCAATCAAACAAAATTCACCAAAAATACAAAAGTTAGATTTAATACAAAAGTGTTTTTGGGCATCTGTAATAAATTTGCAACAGAATCAACAGAAAAAACAGTGGATATAATGAGAGAATACTATATTAAAAGAAAGAATGGAAATCCTCAAAACTGAAATGTATTTGAAATAAGGAACATACAGAAAAAACCTTGTAATCATTAAAACATGTCAAAACAAATCAATGAAAATGAATAAATCTGAAAAATGGGAAAAATTAAGAGCAGCAATAAACTGTTGAACAGAATCAAGAACTCTGATATCCACACAATTGGAGAAGAGACGAATGAAGATAAAGGGAAAGATAATGGGACAGAAACAAAGTAATGGTTACAAATGGGCTGGGATAAAGCCAATAACCCACATGTGGTTGATTGCGTCCAAATTTCTGCAGACTAAAACTAAAATGTCTAATAGCAAAA